AGTACTTCAGGTATCATCATCGTTTTCTAATAAGAACTCTATATTGGCTGGTTTTCTACAATTTTTATATTGAGTTTTATTATATTGAATTTAAAAAGAAGACATTATATTTGGTAAATATATTGTGGTTATTTTTTAGAAGTTAGTGAAAATATTGATACTCCTGTAGTCTTGTCCAAAAACGGCACCAAGATCTTTGCATTTGTTGTTCACATGGTATCATATCTTCTTTCATTGCCATGATTATATTATTTTATTAAATGTGTAATGAAAACAAGCAAATAAATTGAATATAGTTTAACCCAATGAAGTGAAATTTTACTTTTGGATTGAAGGAGTATATACTTTTTGTAAAACCAATATTCAATTGAAAATAACATTGTAATGTCAAGTTCGTTTAGATAGAAGGACTAATTATTTAAGGAAATATTCATACAAATACTCATAAAATGTTATGATTTTATGATGGTTTATCAAAATTTAAAGGTCATTGTCCTGACTTCAATTAATTTATACATCTTCTAATAGGTTGTTTTTTTACATTGGGTTTTATGCATGACTTTTGACTTTGGCATCATATCTTGTTATTCAAGTGAAACCAGATTTGGAGCACTATTAGTTTTGTTAAAGTGATAAAGGAATTAACTCCCCAAGTTGACCCAACAATATTATTTAGGGGTGCCAAAAAATAACTGTCTTGCATAAAAATAGCCTTCTACTCCAACCCTATTCCTATGCCATGAGCTCCTGCTCCACCAGGGAAGTGACAAAAAAAGGGCGGCAGTGATTTGAATCCTCCGTATAGGATATTAGAATGATGGCAAGTGTGGAGTTAAGGGATGTGGCAACAGCTGAGGGAAGAAGAAGAACTGAAATGTGAACAAGAACTGGGAAAAAAGGAAGAAGATGATGGTGGCAATGTGGCATCAGAGGTGATGGCCATGGCGATCAAGACTCCTCTGCGCTAGGCAACGACCATTGCATATGATGGGAAAAATTTGGTCGAAAAATAAGGATGGATGTCAATATGGATGATGGGGGCAGTGAAATAAGGGTTGATAGTTTAGTTGAATTGCAAGGTTAAATAAATCATTTTACATAATAATTTGCCAAATTAGGAAATGTGAAGAACATTTTCCGATGGTTCAAAGAAGAAAGTGGGTAAGTAACTTTGAATGAACTAACTCAACCAAAAGCTCAAGCGTGTGGTTGTGGCACATGAAAGATTTTTTAAACCTAACATGCCTCCTCACATGCAGGTGTGACGTCTTTTGAGCCATGAACGTGAAACTTTAACCTGTAACCTCTTAGTCAATAAGGTTCTGATACTATGTCAAGGAAACAACGCAACCAAATGTTTAACGATAAAATCAGGTGGGCCAAATATAGTGTGGGGGGACACGTGTTGGTTCTTGTGAATTTGCGTTATCGGCCCAATACTTAAGGCCATGAGGGTTCCATCCTCAAACTAATTGGCGATAGGAGGAAAGATCTTTAGACTTATATGTTGGACTTCTTTTTGTTTCTTTTTCGATGCGGTAGAAACCTCCCAACACCCCCCTCAAGTGCAACTGTCTGGCCTCGTATTTTTCTTACTTGCGCTTGACGTTTTTTTCTCTTGACTTGTGGCCGGCCAGCCTTATAGGCAAGAGTTCAAACCCATACCAAACCTGATTCGGTACCATGATAAAATCTGGTGGGCCAAACATAACGTGAGGGACACACACCGGTTCATGCGTATTTGTGTTACAGGCCCCACAATCCCACGGGGGTTCCATTAGACTTATATGTTGGGACTTCTTTTGGCTTCTTTTCTTGATGTGGGAGAGACCTCCCATAAGAATCTGTTTATCTTTTGAAAATCTTATAATTATAATAATGAATGGGGTGCAATGTCATTGTGCATTTGTGCTATAAATAGATTTTTCAACACCAATTGAATCACTTGAATTTGAAACACGAGTAAAAAAACATAATGCTAAAATGTGATTTTTTTTTTGTAAAAATTTGTCTGGTCTGAATTTTGACCTTCCAATAATAACCGTAAGAGTGGCAGCGTGAAATTTCTGGGAGCAACCATGACAACATTTGAATGTGTATTACCATAAATTGCAAGAATCTAAGAGTATTTGAATGCACTTTTTTTTATTATCATTAAAATTGTACTTAAGGGAAATTTGCCAAGATGAAGTTTACATAGAATTTGTATTAGGCATAAAGAGAGATATTTTTGCCCATCGGTTTGTGTTTTTGAAAATTATAATATTGTCATTTTTATGTACGCTAACATTTCATCTTCTTTTATATCTATCTCAGGATGTATACTCCTCGACAGTTGGGGGCCACATCAGTCAACTTCCTGATGAAATTCTTGAGTGTATTCTCAATAAATTAATTATTAGAGATGCAGTTAATGCAAGTTTGGTATGCTCTAGATGGAGACATCTTGTTATGACCCGGCGGGATTGCCTCTTTTTTGATCTGTCTAGCATGTTCAAAATTGGAAGCCTTGAAAGGACAAAATGTGTTTGTTCAGAGTACAAATCTCGATTTGTATCAGCCGTATCTAAGTTTATAGTTTCTTATAGAGGGACACGGATAAACACGTTCGCTTTCCGTTTCTGCCTGATTAATGAATACCCACATGCTGTCTTCCATTGGATTCAATTTGCTTTTGATTTAGGCGTGGAAATGCTTGACATGGAGTTTCATTGTGAATGTTTCACACCTCAAGTGCCATTGTCTAGTATTCCGTGGAAAATTCCCATTGAGCTTTCCCCAAGAGGTCAACCTGTTCTGAAGAGTCTTCTGTTATCCAACTGTGATGTAGCCACAACTTTTACTCTGTGTCCATTCATCCAGCTAGAGGACCTCAGATTTCATCACCTGCGTTTGAAGTCTCATTTTATGTGGAGTGTGCTTTCAGGCTTAGTGAATATTAAGTACTTGGAAATGAAAGAGTGCGAATTGCGTCCCTATTTATGCCTTAACTCACTCACCAGTCTAGAGGGTTTATGGGTTAAGCATTGCGTCGGGTTGGAAAAGATTGACATGGCTAATCTTAAGCTCAAGACATTGAGTGTTTTGTGCAGGAGCACTGTTTCATTGGGGCTAACTGGGGCTCCTAACTTGAATGCCCTCAGTTACGCAGTGCATGACGGTGGCTTGCGCCACATTTTTTCACATCTTCCGGAAATTCTTCCTCATTTGAGCAGTTTGAGGGTGGTCTCTTGTTCCAGCTGGGTAGGAACATAAATTTGAAGTTTTTGGCTATGAAACTTTGCCTTTTGTATTTTTATACGCTGCTAAACGGTTTTGTTTTGCAGATGGAGCACATGCCAGAAAGCATAGCTACATTCTCAAGACTAAGGACACTAATGCTCGCATTGGACCACGGAGTGGGAGATATCATGTTTAGGATAGTTCAACTTCTGAATTCGTGCCCTCTACTCTATGGTCTCAGTATTGTGGTGAGTGATGCTCTTTGATCTTCTAATCACATTATGCTATGATTCTTGCGTACTTTTTGCCGAGATTGATTAGATGGCCAATCATCTATGTAATACATGTTTTCTTGACATTAAAACCATATACGTGCAATCGGCGATTTGATGACTAAAATTAGTAACAAATTTCAGCTGAGCACCCAAGAGGACAAGGAGCACAAGAAGCTAGAGTCCATTGATGAATACTACTACTGCCATCATGAACATCTAGAGTGGATTGAAATCCGCGGATTTGTGGGCACCAAGTATCAGATCGAGTCTTGCAAGTGTTTGCTCAAACTTGCCCCTCGCGCCAAGTTGATGATATTAACGTTTCCTCTACCCGCTTTGTTGTCCCCGGTAACTGAAGCTGGGCACAGAAGTCATCCAATGAATAAAGAAGAACGCAGAAGTGCAGTAAATGCCCTGAAAGCAGTTTCAAATGATGTGAAAGTGTTCTTCATTTGAAGAAGCAATTGCATCAGATAAAACTGGAAGAGCTCATCTCCCTCCTCTGATAATTGAAATTACTGTGGATTGTCATTTGACCTCATCTTCTATAATAATTACAATTTTCTTTTAGAAAAATATACTACTCCGTAGTAGAAAAGTATTTATTGTGAGGCGCGTATTCATATGAAATACCCTGTTGGCCTCATCAACATTTTGTTTTTTCTACCATTAGTCCCTTTGGAACTCAAATTAGATGTAATTGTAAATAAACAGATGTTCCAATAATTTGACATATAAAAAGTTCATCTTAGAATAATGCTAATTATATTTAATTTAAATTACAATTAAATATTCTTCTTACATAAATGTGATAAGATTTATAAAAAAAAATACAATGATAATTGTGATCAAAATTATCTAATTAAAAAAAATAAAAAAAGAGTAAACTTTAGATCCCCAACATAAAGCAAATTTAACATTTTAAAAATTGGCCTAAGCATCATCTTCATTAAAAAAAAGTAAAAATACTGCTAAAATTTTTTTAGGCTCTCCAAATTGTAATTTTGTCAAATTATATAGAGGCAGAGGGGACAAGATTGCTAATATTAAAAGTAATTGCAATTTCTCAAGATCTAACCCCCAGATTCATCAACATTGATAATTTAAAAAATTATTTTAACAGTATTCTAGCAAACATTCTCATCACCATAACTTTAGTATTCTTATATACATAAGCCCCGTTTGGAAACACCGTTAGAAAAAAAACACTTCATAAAAGCAAAAAAATTAAAAAAAAGAATAAACTTTAGGTCCCCGAGATAAAGCAAATTTAACATTTAAAGTTGGCCTAAGCATCATCTTCCCTAAAAAAAAAAAGAGTAAAAATACCGCAAAAAATTTTTTATGCTCTCAAAATTGCAATTTTGTCATATTATATAGACGGGACAAGATTGCTAATTTTAAAAATAATTGCAATTATAGTCAGGATCCAAACCCCCAACCTTAGATTCATCAACATTGATAATTTTAAAAATAATGTTTAACAATATTCTAGCAAACATTCCCATCACCATAACTTTAGTACTCTTACATAGACTCCTTTTAGCAACAACGTTAGAAATTAACGTTAACATATCAAAAAAGTTATTCGACAGTAGCTTTTAGCATAATCATTTTCAGAATTAATTTATATCATTAAAATTATATCTAAAATGCTAATGCTAACAAAGATGATCCCATACAAGACCATAAACTAAATGGTTATGAAGAAACTTTATGCACCCATTACATGACATTTAACTAAGTTTCAAACAACTAAAAATAGGTAATCAAGTTAAAGAATAATTTGAGAAGGTAAGATCCTTCCATATTATATGATCAAATGTTTTTTTTGAATAAAAACCACACTCACATCATTTGAAACTGCTTTCAGTGCATTTATTACACTTTCACGTTCTAATTTATCGAGTAAATAAAAGCTAGGTGACAACAGCTCCGGTAGATCACAATTTAACATCATCTTCTTCGTGCGAGGAGCAAGTTTGAGCAAATACTTGCAAGACTCAATCTGATACTCGGTGCCTAAGAATCCTAAGATCTCAAAGCACGTTAGGCGTGCATGACGGTATTCAATGGACTCTAGCTTCTTGTGTTCCTTGTCCACTCCGGTGCTGAGCTGCAATTTATAACCAATATTAGTCATCACAATCAAGATACGATAATCCAAAAAAATAATAAAATAAAACACACATATCACAACGTGAATTGAAGAAGGGTCCACCCACCACAATACGAAGAGTATAGAGTTGAGGGCACGATTTCAAAATTTGAACGATCTTACACATGATATCTCCCGCTTTGTGATCCAATGCCAGCATTAATGACAAAAGATTTGAGAATGTGGCTATGCTTTCAGGCATGTACCCCATCTGCAAAACAAACAAAAAAACATATGGGAGGGTATAAGAAGAAGAACAAAAAAGGCGTTTGATACCCAACTTCAACTTGATGCGCCTACCCAGTTGGAACAAGAGTGCACATTCAAAAATCTCAAATGAGGAAGAATTTTGGGCAGCTTTGAAAAAATAAGGGACAAGCCACCGTGATGTACTGCGTAAGAGAGTCTCATCAAGTTAGGAACCCCAGTTAGCCCAAATGAAACAGTGCTCCGACACAAAACACTCAAATGCTTGAGCTTAAGATTAGCCACGGCAAGTTTCTCCAACCCGTCACAAAATAAAATCCAGACACTCTCTAGACTGGTGAGTGAGTTAAGGCTTAAATATGAAGGCAATCCGCATCGTCTCAGTTCCAACTGTTTGAGCTTTACTAAGCCTGATAGCACACTCCCCATATCATGAAACTCCAGAGGTATGTGATGAAATCTGAGGTCCTCTAGCTGGCTGAATGGACGGAGAGTAAAAGTTTCTGGTACAGCACAGTTAGATAACAGAAGATTCTTAAGAACCGGTTGTCCGCTTTGAAAAAGCTCAATAGGGATTCTCCAAGGAGTAGCAGACAATGGCATTTGAGGTGTGAAATATTCACAATGAAACCACACATCGAGCACTTCTGCGCTTAAATTAAGAGCAAATCGAATCCAATTTAAGACATCACATGGGGAATCATTATTCAGGCAGAAACAGAGTTCAAAAATGCTTATTTTTGTGCCTCTATAAGAACCAATGAATTGAGATACGGCTGATACAAATTTATCTTTGTATTCTGAACAAACACATCTCCATCTTTCACACCTTTCAATTCCAAACATGTTAGACAGATTAAAAATAAGGCAAGCCCGGGTCAAAACAAGATGCCTCCATCTAGATGATACCAAACCTGTTCTAACTGCATCCCTAAGTGTTAATTTATCGAGAATAATCTCAAGCATTTCATCAGGAAGTTGACTGATGTGGCCCCCAACTGTCGAGTATACATCCTGAGATAGATATATAAGATGATAAAATGTTAGCATACATACAAATGACATTTTTTTTTTTTTGAAAAACCAAACCAATGAGCGAATTATAATCTCTTATTTATGCCTACAATACAAATTCTATGGAATTTTGTCTCGGCTAGTTTCCCTTAAGTACATATTTGGGCAGGAGGATCAATATTTCACTAACTTCTAGAAAATAACCACAAATATATTTACCAAATACAAAGTCTTTTTTTAAGTCCATTATGTATGCCAAAACTCAATTTAAAAAAATTGCAGAACACCAGCCAATATTGTGCTCCTAATAGAAGTAGATGGTGATACCTGAACTACTCGTCTTCCTTTTTCAATACACTCAATGTCCTTTGCTATTTTTAAGGGCAACTGCATCATCCCTGTGACCAAATAATTTGAAATCAGTTTACTCTCTACGAATTTCAGCTGGCAGTAACACAAGAACAAGAATGCACCTTCATAAAAAAGAAACAAGAATACAAAGCGCCTACAATGCGGGAGTAATGATTCATTGATCAATAGTTAGGTTTGCCATGTTTATCCCTTAAGACCCGATTGGTTTTCTATTCTGGTACTTGATCCATTCATTTTCTATTTGATCACTGAACAAAACATCCAAATCCATTAATCTATTCCGGTACTAGATCATAATATTTTTCTAGACCTCACCATTTGCAGGTCAAATTTTAGGATTCTTGCATTGTAAGAAGCAGCAATGACATGGATCATCTCTAACAAATTTTTGAAATGAAAATCAAACATCAATGCGGTGGGACACAATGGCAAGTGGCATGAGCAGGAAAGCCTCTATTTGATTTACATAAAATAATACATAAAGTCAATAAAATGCATAACTCATACAAGAAGTACTCATACCAAACACCAGTTCTTGAATGCAAACAAGTACAAACTAAAATCCCAATTCAAAAAAAGAGATAAAAAAGGAGAAAGGTGAGAGAGATAGAGATAGAGGGAGTGGTTGCACTCATCATAGGAACTAAGTGTTATAACTTTCAGCAAAAAAAGATTAAAACTTTCACCCCAAAAAGGGATACAAAAAAGAAGAAAAAAAAAAATAAAACTTTTAGCAAAAAATTCAAAACTTTAAGTAAAAGATACAATTGGAAGGGAATTAAGAATCAACATCAATCATGTAATAAATCTCCATTAAAGAAATAAAAAAGGATTAATGCTTCAAAATCTAAATGAACATGGCAAATCAGGAAAAAGAATGATATGTATATAGAGAGAAACAAGTACCAAGAGGAGGAGGCATGGATTTGTTTGTAATCAAGCATCAAATCTTCCTACAAATCCATGCCTCCTGCCAGTACTTTTTTTTTTTCTGATTTGCAATGTTAGATTTAGACTTTAAAGCATTAATCTTTTTTATAACTTGAATGGAGATTTTTTTTCTAAATGGTTGAGGTTAATTTTTAATTCTCTTCCTATTGAGTATTTGACTTCAATGAACATTGTTCTTATTTCATCTAAAGCTTTAATATTTTTGCTGAAAGTTCTAATCTTTTTTTTGCTGAAAGTTTTAATCTTTTATTGTTTTTTTAATCTTATTTTGCTGAAAGTTTTAATCTTTTTTGTTTTTTTAATCTTTTTTTGCTGAATGTTTTAGTCTTTTTTTGCTGAAAGTTATAATTTTTTTGCTAAAATCTTCTATCCTTTTTGCTTAATTGACTGAAGGTTTTAACATGAATGAGGAGATTGAGTTTTAATCTATTTTCTGAAAGTTTTCTGGTATGTAAGCATTAATCTTTTTCTATCACCTGAATGAAGATTTCTTACATGATTGAGGTTGATTTTACTTCTCTTTCCAATTGAGTCTTTACTTCAATGAGCATTATTCTTTTTTCACTTAAACATTTTGCTGAAAGTTTTAATCTTTTTTTATGAAAGATTTAACCTTTTTTTGTTTTTTTGTGTGAAAGTTTTAATCTTTTTTGCTGAAAGTTATAAAACAAATTTGCTGAAAGCGTGGTATCCTCTTTGCTTACTCGAACGAAGGTTTCTTACATGAATGATTGGGGAGATTGGGTTTCAATTCTCTTTGTAGAAAGTTTTGATCTTTTTTGCTAAAAGATGTTTGGGAAGTGAGTTGTCAGGCCAGACCCAAGAAAGGAAAAAAAATAAAATTCCAAATAACTTTCCATATCTGCACCATTGTCTGGGTTCTCTGTTTATGGTTATAATAACTTATTACTGTGGTTGAATTAGGATACTTTTTAAAATTCTTTTAGAGTGGGTTAACTTACAAGTTCTTTGCAGTAGCTATGACTTTGTATGAGTCTAGGATCTTACCATTTGAGTCTTATAATTGTCAACTCCCTTCTGTCATTGACTAGGTTCTTGAGTTAAACAACCTTGCTTAAATTTCTTGGTTCCTTCTAGTGACAGGAAGTGGATATGATTTCTTCTTGGTTCACTCTCCGGGTTCCTATTAAAGTATTCTCGCGGATGTGGTCCACCTATTGGTTTTAGAACCCTTGGACTATGTTTGGTTCAAGGATTTTAGAAGGAAAAGAAAAGAATATGTTTTTCCCACATCTTCCTCACTAGAATGGAAGAAGAAATTTGATTTTTCCCTTCTTTTAATACATTCTGCTTTTTAATTCTTGTACTTTCCACTTTTCTTTTCTAACCAAACAAGAAAATCAATTTCCTTCTTCTTTTACTTTTCTTTTCCCTTTCAAATTCCTTTATTAAATTAATAGATTTTCAGATTTTCACAACAAATTCATAACAATTAGCAAAAATTTCAAATTAAGATTTTCAATTTTTCACATAACAAATTTATACAAAAAATAACAAATTGTCATATTCAGAACAGAAATTCAGAACAAGTTCATAACAAAATTTATAAAGATTAAAGATTTTCAGGTTTTCACATAACAAATTGTAAAATTCTTAAAGAAATTCTGAAATTGGTACTACGTATTTTTTTACCTCTGTCGGCGACTTCCTTCTGTCGTCTTTTTCAATTTTCTTTCGTGCCTTCGTACGTTTGGGCGTTTGGCGACTTTGGCGTTATTCTGCGGAACGGAAATAGGAGGGCTAGGGAGTTATGGGTTTAGGCGCTGGGCTTCAATAATATATCTATACTTTATTTAAAAAGAAGTGAAGTCAACTTTGTATTTTCCCGTCCAAGAGTGCTAGGCATTAGTTTTGGTAATTCTAAAGTTATATTGGTAACTAATAAATGCTAATAATTATATTATATTATATATAGAATTTGGTATTGGTAATATAATCATTTAATGTGGTGATTTAATCAATATGTTAATATCAAACAATTTCTATTTTGAACTAATATTAACGGAATGAATTTTTTTATATTAAGGTAATTTAAATTCTTTAGTAATAATAACGACACTGATTATTATATAAAAGAAAACATGTACTCCGGATGTTATTTAATGCGGCGATTTAAACCATATACTCCATCCGTTCTCAAAAACACTTCCTCTTTTATTTTTTCCACTTCCAACAAAACACTTCCACTTTCTATTAAAAAACCACTTTTACCCCTACTTTTTCATACCCTACCTATCACATCATACTTTTTCTCAAATAATTTATCCATCACACTTTACTTTTATCCATCACAGCAGGGTAAAATTTAAAGTCAATTATAATTTAATACTTTCTTATTTTGGTTCCAAGTCAAAGTAGGAAGCTTTTTTGCAAACGGAGGGAGTATATGGTAATATGAAAAGGTAAATATTCTAAATAAGGAAATAGTACTTTTAAAAAAGTTAACATTACTTCACAATTTCTTTTTTAATTCGTAATTAATATTAACAGAACGGATGTTTTCTAATTAAGGTAATTTCAATTCCTCAATAATAACGACGCCACAGAATATTATATGGAAGAAAACGTTATTTTTAAAAAAATTAATATTTCTTTTCACACAAAATGCCTTTTAAAACGTGATATTATTAATCTAAAATAATTATTATTATTAATCTAAAAAATGGTTTAAAAGCTATAATAAATACGTTTCCTTTTTTATCACACGGTATTAACCGTGGTGATTAACCAATTTCCTTTTTAAAACGAATAGTTTTAACACGTAATCATTTTAAAAAAGGAACAACGATAATATGACACAATTTGTAATTGGTAATTAATATTAGTTGAACGGATTTTTTATAATCAAGGTAATACTAAATCCTCAATGCTTTCAATTCATATGGAGCGTACTAATTATTTTGGGTATAAATAAAACATGACTTTCCATGGTTGTAAACTCACATTCGCATCGTAAATTTACTTTTTCTGTTCTTTAATACAAACCACATAAGGACTAATTAGTGTGTGGTCCACACTAGACGAAGTTGACGATGGTATTGGTCCGTCCATGGTAAGAGTCCGCGCTATACATATTTATCGAACAGCAGCACATGATCGAACGCCACAATCTTTGACGTCATTTTTCATGATGAAAAAGTATGATACAGTTTTCCCTCGACTCAGTTTCAATATACCATATAATGAGAATTATTGATTACATTAGCTAACTAGATGCATTTACAAGGAAATCGGATTCATGTGTTGATATATAGGAGATTCAAATATCAAGACTTTAGAGAATGACATCGAAGAAAACAATGTTTATGGTTTATATAAGTTTAAAGTCCAACGCAACCTACAAAACACAAAGACAACCTCTCACCCTTTTATGATAGTTTTTTTTTTTGGAAAGACGAAGCTTCATAAATTATTTTTGGAATAATTTTCGAATTTGCGATATAAATTCATGCCTTTTAAAGACATCCAGTTACTACCTTTGATAGACGACATTCATCTATATCTATACTATATTTAAAAAGAGGGGAATTCTCCATTCTATTTTCTCGCCTAAACATTTTAGTCACAAAAGATAAGTGCTAAAACTTGAAATGGTAACTGCCCTGTACAAGGTAATTTCATAATTATTTTCTCTCTTACTTTTATTTCATAGTTATTATTAATTATTAAATTATTAATTATTATGGTACCATATAATAATAATAATAATAATAATAATAATAATAGAAAAGGTAACATGTGAACCTTTAATATTAATATGGTAATAATATGATACCGTATAATAATAGTAACAATAAACGTAATAATTATTATTGGTACCGTGTATAATAAAAAATGTAACATGTGGAACTTAATTTTAAATTATGAATTATTAATGAAGTAATTTCGTAACTCATAAATTTGGTACGTTGTAATAAAAATGGTAAATGTGAAACTTTAATTATTAATAAGTTAATTTCATACCTTACAATTTTTTATACCGAGTATAATAAAAAAAAGTAACATATGAAAGAATAATAACATATATGGTAATAATATGGTAACGAATAATAATAATAATAATAATAATAATAATAATAATAATAATAATAATAATAATAATAATAATAATAAACGTAATAATAGTAATAAAGCTAAGTCTGTTTTGTACTATTACCGTGTATAAAATAAATGAAAATGTTGACTTGGTTTAAAAAAATGTATTCTCATACCTTATATATTTTACCAAAATTATAAATTATAATATTAATTATTAATTTTTTAATAAGGTAATTTTACCTTATATTTTTTGTACGTGTAATAAAAAAGGTAACATTTAGAATAATACGGAGTAATAATATGAAAATAATATGGTACCATATACTAATAATCATCATAATAATAAACATAATAATAATCAAGGTATGTTAGTTTTGTGCTATTACCATGTATAAAATAAATTAAAGTGTTGACTTGATTGTAAAAAAATATACTCACACACCTTATATTTTTTTACCAAAATTATAAATGATAAAATTAATTATCAATTATTAATAAGGTAATTTCAAACCTTATATTTTTCTGTATTGTGCAATAAAAAGGTAACATGTGAAACCTTAATTATTAGTTATTAATTATTAATTATTAATTATTAATTATTAATTATTAATTATTAATTATTAATTATTAATTATTAATTATTAATTATTAATTATTAATTATTAATTATTAATTATTAATTATTAATTATTAATTATTAATTATTAATAAGGCAATTTCATACGTTATAGATTTTGGTACCATGCATATTAAGAAAGGTAGCATGTGAAAGAATAAAAAGAATATGGTAATAATATGGTACCGTATAATAATAATAATCATTATAATAAATTAAACGTAATAATAATAAAGGTAAGTTATAGAGTAATAATAATAATCATAATAATAAACATAATAATAGTAAAAGAGTAACAAATTATAGTTGCTTGAAGATTTCGATATGCAACGAACACAATGTTTCCACAAAGTGTACGAATAATACAGTTTACAAAAAGTCGTTTGAAATTTCTAAGCAAAAAACTTTTGTACTTTAAAATAATAAAATCTCTATATTCTATTACATATCTTAATTTATCATTAAAAATGATCTTATTTTAGTAATGTAAGTATGACCCGTGCAGCGCACGGGTGTGATACTAGTACTCCGTATATGAGAAGTTCAACCTTTTTTCAGGAGAAAATGAGGGAGAATATAATTGGAAACACAATCTTTTGACTAAATTCTATAATTCGTCCGGTTTCCCTATTTAGTCTTTAATTATCAAATATTACTCTAGTAGTCCTTTTTTTGACTTTCTATCATGCTGATGTTAATTTGAGGGCTAAAAGTGTAATTTCATAAGTATAATATATCTTTTTTGTCATACACAATTCCAAAGGCTGTTCCGTTAGCGTCGTTTGTGAATTACAGTCGCTTTTTACGACAACTATAGTCTACAAATGTGATCTTTCGTCAGAGTCCTAGCCCACAATCATAGTCATTATTTTTGTGTTATCCGCTTAAACAATATCAGAACACGTTACTAGACATAATGTTGATGTCAAATTATACGTTTAGCCTTTAAATTAATACCAACACGGCAGAAGATCAAAAAAAGGATCATTTGTGGAAAGGTACCTTTAAAAAAGGACTACGGGAATAATATTTGATAATAGAGGACTAAATATGGAAATCCCCCTGTTATAAAGGACTAATTATGGAATTTACTCCAATCTTTTTTAGCATTCCTAAATGTGCGTGCAAGTCAAGAGGAAAGATTATACTCCGTACTACTTTCTCCCTATTAAAATAATCTTTCCAATTGCGTTTACGAAGTTTTAACGATTTTATTTTCAATTCAATTTATTGTGATCGGACAGTCAAACTAATGAAATAATTTTATATATTTATTTGTAATATATTTCTGACATCATATTTATGGATGTTTGACTTTAATAGAGCCAAAATTTATTAATTGACCTTTATTCAAAAGGTTCTCACTTTTAGTTCATATTATTTATTCTAATGGTTTATTTTAAAAAATCATTTCAAAGTTCACATCATAAATCAAATTCTATATTTAATTTAATTGGGTCTATACTCTGGTTCTCAAACAAGATTACACATATAGTCAATATATTAGATTTATCTCGATAAGATTTATCCAAATTGAGATATTCAATATCAAAACATATTTTATTTCGGCCCAAAACCCAATAATAATTTATTTTAATCAAAATGAATTTCTTTAATTGTTGGAGGGAACCTTCTAGTCCGCGCTATGATGTTTGACCGAAATTATTTTTATTTAGAACACAAAAATTTATGTGGAATTAAAAAACAAAAATTATATATTTAAAAACTATATAAAAACGTCTATAAAACTAGAGACAACATGACTATATTATTTTATCAAATCAATAACGAAAATAAACAAGTAAATTATATATGAATGCTCCTTCCGTTCAACTTATTCTTTCTCATCTGTACTAATTTTTCGTAGTTCTGATCTGAACTGTTTGAATCTAATCTGATTAATAATGATTTGATTTAAAGTTCAAATCAATAATTTGAATTGACTTTATAATAACGTTTGAAAATTTTAATGATAATTCATATTATAATATAATCAATATTTTTTATTTTATGATTATTTTTTAATAAAATAAAATTAGTTAATTCATATATAAGAATAATCATTCATATTATAATGTAATAATATTTTTTTATTTTATGATTATTTTTTTTTTGTGAAATAAGAATATTGATTTAATATTTTAATAATTAGTTCATATATACATTAGAATAAATATTTAATTTATTAAAATATCTAATTCTTATAAAAAATCAAAACTTTAGAAACTTAAATTAGAGGTAACAATAAAAATATATTTAAAGAGTAGAATTAGAATGATTGTATGAATGCATTTTAAAAATAATTTTTCCAACGTCTAATAATTAAGGATTTGTTTGTAAACTTTATTCTTTTTCATTTTTAAGAATAATAATAATAACAACAGCAACAGCAACAATAACAACAACAACAACAACAACAACAACAATAATAACAATAATTCTTGATGAGATTTGATTTGATCTGATCTGGTATGATTTAATTAGATCTAATATGATCTAATCTGATATGATCTAGTCTGATCTGGTCTGATGTGATTAGATCTCATCTAATCTGATGTGAATTGATCTGATCTGATCCCATTCTAATAAGAATAAGAGAAAATAAGAAAAAATAAGTTGAACGAAACGAGGCCAAAGCTTGACCATATGCACAATGTACTCTCTCTGTCCACAAATAAACTTTCCGTTGCGCATTACAATGTTTGACTGAAGTTATATTCAAATCATTTTATATGAAAAAATGGTGTAAAATTTAAAAATAAAAATTACATATTAAAAAATTATATCAAAAGATTTACAAAACTTGAGGTGAACTGACTATATTATTTAATCAAATAGGTGACAAAAATAGGCTAATAAAGTGAATAAAGTTTGACCATGTGAAAAGTGTACGCAAAATTTATTTGTAGACAGAGATACTAGTTGATGGTACGAGTAGAGTAGTATCCACACAGTTGTCTCCATATCCAACAAATGTCGACCCGACACGAGAGTGGTTCTGAAGCCTGACCTAGTGGGATTTACATGTTTGGTCACATAAACAAAGGGTGGGTATGGAAAAGGAGAGGATGACTTTTGGAAATTGGGTTTGATTATTTTCAGAAAAGAGAAAATTAGATGCGTGAGTAATTTTCTCAATTATTTTCATTCTCTAAAAAGGTGAAATCGCTCACCCCGGGCGCCCCTCACCCCCGACCCGACGGGAATGTGAGAGGAGGTAAATCACGATGACCCAAGCACACACTTAGCTAAACCATATCCTAGTGCGCACCAGAGACTCCCCCCATTTTTCAGAGGTGGTCGCACCCACAACGGTCGCTGCCAAATTTCGATCCTTCAGAGGTGGTCATTCTCCAAACTTCACCAAGTGCTTGCCACTTGGGCTACCCGTGTGGGTTCTGAATTATTTTCATGAAACCATTTTTTAGGCGTTTGAGTAAAGTTTGCAGATATCACAACCGATGGTAATATAAATCGGGTATATAACCGATATACGCAGTAGTAGCCCCCTTAGAACAGAACTGGTGGAAATCGAGTTTGAGGAGTTGGCATGGGAACTGTTACCCAAAACCAAATACGGAGTAATCGGATGTTGACAAAGAGGGGCGGACCCAGAACATTTGAACCATGGGGTCAGCAATTTAGAAAATTTATATTTAACCATCACGCTTCTAACAATAAATAAACAATATTCTATAATACGGAGTACATAACATTAATGTTTATATATATATATATATATATATATATATATATATATATATATATATATATATATATATATATATATATATATATATATATATATATATATATATATATATATATATATATAT